GATCATCGCTCTTCCGGTCGCCATCTCTGGTCGCTCTTCCGGTCGCCATCTCCGGTCGCTCTTCTCCGGTCGCCATCTCCGGTCGCTCCTCCGGTCGCCGTCTCCGGTCTTCCAGCAGCTCGTATTTCCTCGCTTCCTACCGTATTTCCTCGTATTTCCGTCGCCGTCTCCCCCTCAGTCATAAGGTTCCTTTTTCTTTCTTTCTTCTTCTTCTTCATGTGTGGTGAATGATTGTCTTTGATGTAGGCTTGATCCTATTTGCAACTAATTGATGTTCTGGACTTTTGGTTGATCATGATTGACCTAATTCACARCCTTGACTGGGATTTGATAGGAYAATTGTAACAGGATTATGGATTATTGATGATTTAACTAGGGTTTATAGCTTAGTGATATATGTGCATTGATGATTGCTTATTAGGCAGAGGGACCAGAAGGGGATCTAGATGAAGTTACACATAGGGTTTATTTTGATGTTGAGATTGGTGGAAAACCCATGGGTATGTTCAATTGTCTGCACTCTTTGTATTTGATTAATATGAAAACTTGTTTTGAACAAGTAAAATTATGTTTGTTTGGATTAATATGAAATATGTAGTTAYATTTACAAAGTAATTGTTTTATTCAGATATCTGCCAAACAGCTATATTTCATTCAGTACTAAATCATACAGAGGGTTAAAATGGTAATTTGTTATCATTCAGAGAACATTTACCAAACAACCATATTTCATTCACCACTTAACCATTCTGATCCTCTTAACCATTCTGACCATTTAATCATTCAGCAACTGCCAAACAGCCTCTAACTTATTATTAACCAAACAAGACTTTTTCAATAAGCTAGTCATGAAGTAATCATCCCATTAATCAAAAGAAGCCAAACATAAAAAAGAATAATGGGCAAACGATAGAAATTACCCAAATGAAAACCATTGCACATGATGTGTTATATGACTCCTTCAAGATAAACCAAAACACATGCATATCAACATACCAAATAGATCACATTACAAAGAGTAATTCATGTATGAAGGGTGTTCTTATTTTAGGGTTATACATCCGTATGATGTATGTATATACCGACCCTCAAATGCTTCTTTGTTCAGCCCTAGAAGAGATCTGTGTTCTCAGAGGGTTCTTCATGACGACAGTAAACTCGACCTCCTCGGAGAGATCAACATCATAATCATCCGGAGGAGTCCACCGGAAAAACCATATCAAATTGGCAACAAAATATTCTAAATGAAGCAGAGCCAAATCAGAGCCAGGGCAGATCCTTCTTCCAACACCAAATGGCATCATCTTGATTCCTTTACTTCCAGTTATATCAAAAACACCATTAATGGTCGAGAATCTTTCTGGTATGAACTCCATCGGATCATCCCACACCTTTGGATCCCAACCCATATCAGCCACAAAGAAATTAATGGTGGCACCCTCTGGAATCATGTGCCCTCCTAGCTCTATCTCCTTTGTCACCCTATGAGGTAACACGAAATGGGCCGGTGGGTGTCTCCGGAGACCTTCCAAAACCACCGATTTCAGATATGGCATTTTCTGTAAGTCCTCGTCGTTGATGATGGATTCTGGTTGCTCCCCTGGTGGTGGCGGTGGAGGTGGTGGTCCGACTACTGTAATGATTTCATCATAGAGCTTATTCTGAATGTGGGGATGCTTCACGAGATTGGCCATGATCCATTGTAGAGCGGTGGAGGTGGTGTCTGTGCCGGCGTTAAGGAACTCGCTACACATGCTTACCATTTCTTTCTCGGTGAGCTTTCCGCCATTTCCGGTGTGGGTTTCTTCCTCCGGAAGCTGTAGATTCACCAGTGTGTCAACGTATGCCACGATTTGGTCGTTTCCTGATTGGGGAACAGAATTGGATGCTTCGATTCGAGATTTAATTAACGGAATCAACACTTGTTCTTTATCCTCGAGCAATTTTTCGAATTCTTTCCATCTGTTTTTGAACAATATCTTCCCCAATTTTGGGAACATAGTGAGAACGGTAAACCGGCCGGAGCCGACCATCAACAGCATTTCACGCTGAACTTTAGCGATTTCATTGATTTGTCGTTCGTCAAGCTTCTCTCCGAAGCACATCAGGACCAACAGGGAGAACATGGCGAACTGGAAATGATCGACCACCTTGATTCCGCCGGCAGCCTCTGCCTTCTTCCGCTCCTGGAGGCGACCAATCAGAATATGAAGGACCCAATTTCGCGCCCAGGAATATGATTTGACGCGGGAGGGGTGAAGAACCTCCGAGGCGAGATTGCGACGGAGGAGCCGCCAAGTAGGGCCGTAGGAAGCCGAGGAGATGTTTCGCTGAGCGAAAGTTTTAGGGCGGTCGGAGAAGACGGCGCCTTTCTGGATAAGGATTTGATGGGCGAGAGAATGATCTCCGACGAAGATGGAAGGACGGGAACCGATGGAAAGAGTGATGAGTGGTCCATAGTTGGACTTGAGCTTTCTGAGGACGTGTTCGAACTTTAAGCGGGAATTGGTTAACAGAAGGAGGTTGGAGGAAAGGAACGACGGCCCTGGTGGTAGGTTCTTGCCGGCGCTCCGGCGGAAGAGGATGGATCTAATAAGGGCGGCGACGCAGAGGGAAACAACGATGACGAACCAGGTTTCCATCGTGGATGAACCAATGCGGATGATGGCTGTCCAGGGGTATTATACGTCAACGTATCAATTTTCGTCCAAGTAAATCTGAAATAGTCAAACGTCGATCTTTGCTTTTATTTATTTTCAATTAATTAAATATAATTATAAATTAGTTTTTATTAAAAAAAAACCAAAAATCTTGTATAAAATATACTAAGGGGTGTTTGGGATTGTTTATTTAAAATAACTTAAGTTTTTTTGTAAAAATATTTATTAACTTATGTGGTATCAAACCAAAGTTAAATAAAACAAGGTTAAAATTGTAAACTGATAATAAACAGTTTTTCATAAGTCAGGAATGATTAACTTATCAAAAACAGCTTATTACCGGTTGACACCGGTATAAGCAATTTTTTTTTCTTATCCAAACACCAGAAAACAGCTTATCATCGGTGACAGACTGAAATAAGTTAAAAAACAGCTTTTATAAGCAATCCCAAACACCCCCTCAATAAACAAAAAAGAGACATTTATCAAACGTTTGTTGGGTTTTTCAGACGTCACTTATATTTCGGGTTAGCATGATAAAGATCAATAATCTTATCTGATAAGATTATTTTCAACAACTATGATAAAATAAAGATCAAGGATCGAATAAACTCAAGTTGCACTGCTCTCCCTGTAAGCCAATTAGAAAGCAAGTCGTCCCGATTGATGAGCGGAACCAATTTGATGCAACCCATTGAATATCGCTCTTGACCGGACTTGTTCCATTTGGGCAATCATGACCGTTAACCAAAGGATTGGATTTTAATGCATCACTATACCACCTCTTATTGTGCAAAGACGATGGAATACGAGCAGACTGGTTACAAAGGAATTTCCCGGTGGCTTAGTTCGAGAAGGATGAGGTTATCTATTCTCCTTTGTCACGAAAACACCAAAGTCTGGAAGCTCCAATCGAAATGGTATGGAGATATTTCGCCATAGAAAACTTGTCCCTTGTATCAAAAAATCTTGCAAAGCCACATCGTTTCAGGGCTGTGTTACCGGCTATTGACTCGGTCGGTCACCGGTCTACACCTTTTCCAAATTACGGATCTGATCGAAAACTGATTAGAATTGTTGATAACATTTGTTTGCTCAAATGATAATATATTTATAATAGAAAATCTAGTTGAAGAAACAGAAGGAAGAAATGCCTTTCTGGTTAACTTCTTTAAATTTTAATTATTTAATATTTTTTAGAAAATATAATAATTTTGAAATTATTTATAAAAATATATTTTAGACTGTTGTATTTGTTTTTCAACACACTAATTTATTGAATTATAATTTTATAGTAATTCAAAATAACAATATTAATTAAGAACTAAGAAATCAACATATTTTGTATTTATGAACATTAAAAGGTTATCTTGAATTTTAAATAATATGTCTTAATAAATAGAAAATATTATATAAAAAAATGATTTTTAAGAGTTTTGATCATATACTTTAGAATATTGATGATGAATATGCGAGAGTGAATTACATTTGTGTTCAAAATTTTCAAATAGAAACAATCAAACATTAACATAATACAATTGACATCAGGAATAATTGAGACATGCAGGTTCAAATCAAATCGGCTTCTTATTTTCCTACATTTTTATTTTAGAACAATCAGAGATATACACACATCCACTCAAATGGTTATATTTCCGTCCTTGGAAAGATACGTGTTTGCAGAGGATTCTTCATAACAATGGTGAACTCAGCCTTCTCGGAAAGATCGACATCACAGTCACCGGCGACAGTCCACCGGAAAAACCATATCAAATTGGCAACAAAATATTCCAAATGAAGCAGAGCCAAATCGTAGCCGGGGCAGATCCTTCTTCCGGCACCAAATGGCATCATCTTTATCCCTTTACTTCCAGTTATATCAAAAACGCCATTCATCAAGAATCTTTCTGGTTTGAACTCCATCGGATCATCCCATACTTTTGGATCCCGACCCATCTCCGCCACCAAGAAATTAATGGAGGCACCCTCCGGAATCTTGTACCCTTCCACCTCCACCTCCTTCGCCACCCTATGCGGCAGCAAAAAATGGCCTGGTGGGTGTCTCCGGAGGCCTTCCAAAACCACTGCTTTCAGGTATGGCATTTTCTGTAGATCGTCTTCGTTTATGACCGATTCTGGTTCCACCCCCGGTGGCGGCGGTGGAGGTGGTGGTCCGACGACTGTAATGATTTCGTCATAGAGTTTGCTCTGAATGTGGGGATGCTTCACGAGATTTGCCATGATCCATTGTAGAGCGGTGGAGGTGGTGTCTGTGCCGGCGTTAAGGAACTCGTCGCACATGCTTACCATCTCCTTCTCGGTGAGGTTTCCGCCATTTCCGTTGGTGGCCTCCACCTCCGGAATATGGAGATTTATGAGGGTATCGACGTAAGCCACAATTTGATCGTCGTCTCCTACTGATTCGGTTTCGGAATTTGCTGTTTCGATTCGAGATTTTATGAGAGGAAGCAACACTTGTTCTTGATCGTTTCGGATTTGAGCAACTTCTTTCCATCTGTTTCTGAATAATATCTTCCCCAACCGTGGGAATATGGAGAGCACGTTAAATCGGCCGGAGCCGACTGACAACAGCACCCGGCGTTGTACCGTCGCGATTTCGTCAATACGACGATCGTCGAGCTTCTCTCCGAAGCACATGAATACCAACAAGCAGAACATGGCGTACCGGAAATGATCAACCACTGTTATTATTCCGGCAGCCTCCTCCGCCGCTGGCTTCCGCTCCTGGAGGCGACCAATTAGGATTTGGAGGACCCACTTTCGCGCCCATGAGTATGACTTGACGCGGGAGGGATGAAGAACTTCGGCGGTGAGATTGCGACGGAGGAGCCTCCAAGTAGGGCCGTAGGCGGCTGAGGAGATGTTGCGTACGGGGATGGTTTGAGGGCGGTCGGAAAAAATGGCGCCTTTCTGGATGAGAACTTGGTGAGCGAGAGTATGATCGGCGACGAAGATGGAAGGATGAGAACCGATGGAAAGAGTGAGGAGTGTTCCATACTTTGACTTGAGGTTTCTGATGATAGGTCCGAGCTCCGACAGAGAAGTGGTTAGCAGGAGGAGGTTAGAGGAAAAGAACGACGGCCCTGGTGGTAAGTTCTTGGTGGTTTTCCGGCAAACCAAGATGGAGATAAGGGTGGCGACCGAAAGGGTGAGCAGGAGGAGGAGGAAGAAGGAGAGGTCCATGGCGAATGGTGGTAGCAGGCTGGACGTCATCCTTTTGTTTGTCGACAAGTAAACCTCAATCACCGTCTTTTTCTTGATTATTGGAAATTGTTTGTTGCTAGATTTACCACAAAAAATAAGTCTATCTTTTTATAATTAATTTATATTGATAATTAAATATTTAAAATAAAATTTAAAAACAATTATTATGAAAATATCTAATCGACATCATCAATAACTTATGCATCAAAAACTCTCAAGATTTTGATTTCATTTTGATGTAATTTTCTCTTTTATTTATTGAACTTCTATTTATTTTATAAAGAAACGGAAATCGAAACAAACTTAAACAAAACGTATTGCCATCTTTAAATACATATAGTTTAGATCGAGCAAGACACATTGCCAAACTTGATGTTCATGTTATCAACATATGAACAAAACCGTTTTTGATAGCTTTAGCCTAACAATTAAAAAGGTTAGCTACCATGCCTAACATGTAAACAACTTACATGCCATCATGGGATTTTATCCTTCATTCGCAATACGAGCTTGAACTTTTCCTCATCCTCGACTTGCTGACGCACATCAGATCCTGAAGCTCGGTCCGGATGAAAGCTCAATAATGCTCGTTTATACGTTGCACGAACCTGGAGCGGTCATGAAAAGGAAAGTAAGAATGTAATACTATGAATGGCAATGGCTCATGCATGCATCGACCATCGATATTGTATCCAAAGACCACATGTTATATGTATTGTCCAATGAATTATCAAAGCAAGATCCCTGTGTTGATCATGCCTCACCATTGCTTCGTGCTAAAAATTAAGTCATGATACTAGCTCCCCCAAAGAGTCGTTTATCTTTATTTTTCCTCTATATATGTTGAAACATGCCTTTATTTTAAAATGTGTTTTTTGGAGAGTAATCTAAACAGGTTTCACATATATTTATACGGTACCAGAGCTAGGTTGTTTGTTCCTCTACAAGGGACTCTCTAGGGAATGTATGGAGTCCCAAATCGGTTAGAAAGTCTTTTTTTCCCTTATACTTGTTGGAACCACCCTTCGGTTTTCAATACCTTTATAGAGGGTAATTCAAAGAGATTCCATATATATTTACACGATATCAGAGCAAGGATAATCCTCCATTATAAGGGACTTGACACTCTAGGTGGTGTTGGAGTCCCTCATCGCCTAGAACACAGTCCTTTTTTCTCTATATTTCTTGCAATCTCCCTTCTCTCTTCAAACACTCTTTTGAAGAGTAATCTCAAGCAGTTCCACATATCTTCTCATTAATACAGTAATCTTTTATATAGCCAATTAAGGTGGTTTTTCACCCTATCATATATATGACTTCCAGCCTAATATTTGGTAACAATTTAGTTTGCGGGCTAACACATTCTCTCAAGAACAAAAGAGTCCAATGCGTAAGTTTCCAGGCTGAGAGTCAATTTGACATGCAAATCTAACTTGATGCCACAAACAAATTGAATGAGATATCATATGATAACTGTATTTGGCAACATTCCCAGTGTAGCATGAATATGAAGTCATTTTCCTCATACCATGCTCGATGCCCGACAACTGAAAATGCTTAAAAACTAGAAAGCATATGACTCACCTGTAGTGAAGAGGCAGAAGGGCCGTTATCAGTTAAGGCTCCTAAACCATGCAATAATGAAGCCATATCATGGCATGTCGTTTTCAGCTTGTTGGACTTCAGTACGATACATTTCTTTCAATTTCATGTTTTCCTCGTCCTGTCAAAACAGGAAGCAAGAGAATTAGAGTTAATGATGGTAAATTAATCTGTCAATATGGACAGAAGACGATAATCCTTCAAACCTTGTTTTGGGTTTCTATGATTTCTTCCAAGCGTTGTTTTTGTCTCTCTCCATGTCTAATAAACGCAACTTCTCAGCTTTCTTTCTTTTCAGAAAACGCCGAAGCTGCTGAGCTTCTTCTGCCTGCAGAAAAAGAATATAAAATTTGCACCTTAGAAGGTCATGTTGTTTCCAATTTTACCCATTCCATACGAGGTCTAAATAGATTAATGTTCAAGTTCACAAAACAGAAAGTAGGCAGAGTTTGAACAAGAAGATTGACATTACCATCCTTAGGAGTTATAAAGGTTGATGCTATCTTTAGCATATGTACTTCTCAAAACAAATCTATGCATGATTCATATTGGGGGCAGATGTATTAAAGATGCAATGGTCATGTAGTATTTTGATGTATAAACTATGAAAATGACAACCCCAGATGTATCAGACACATTTTATGAAATTACCAAATAGGACTTCTTGTACTTCTTAATCACAAGGTCAACAAAATAAGAGAAATAAATAGAGCTATATCTACAAAGTCAAAAGAGTTAGCCAGCCCATGGTAATAACACTATGATAATAACAAGCAACCTTTAATCTTGATTTTTCTAGTTACCTATACCCATCTGGATACATGCACCTAAAGATAACTTGTTTTCCAAAAATGGAGTGCAACACAAGGCTAAATTTATCACACAAGCTACAAATCTAATACAACTCATGTTCTTCCACACAAGTTTCACAGCTTGGAAGTAAAAATAACACAGATACAATGCATATGAAGCAAAAGAACCAAGTACCTTGAATATATTTCAACTAGTTCTCAAATTTTCCTGAACTTTCAACTCTCTGCCAGGCTGACCATTCTTCCTCTAGTGCTCGTTTGTACTCATCAGTCTCCTTGAGCTTTTCTCTTTCATTAACAATGGAGTTCTCAACAGGGGCATCATCAGTATTAGAAGAGTTGAAAATCAAATTTTCCTCATTCTCCACTTCACTACTAGTAGAACTAGAAGGTGTTTGTTCAGACTTATCATCTCTGTGCCCAAAACCATGGCTGCAATCACCAGTTTTAACTGAAAATGGAATCTTGTGAGAGGAAGTCCTATCAACCTGTAAATTAAGATTTCTTGGGCCAATATCTGCAATGTCACTTGCACCATGATCTGATGGGATTCTGTACTTTTGCTTACCTTGTGTATAAGTGTGCTGTTCATTAGAAAACAAGGGTGACAATCGATGACTTTGTGAATTATCCTTGTAGAGACAGTAATCAAAGTGTTCAAAACATTTGCAACTTTGCTGTTCAAATTTAGATGGATCTTCCATCAATGACTCTTCTTGGGCATGAATTTGGCATTCTTATCAAGAATATTTGTCTTCCATGCTGTGTTCAAATTTTTATCTTTAGAACACTGTTTTATGGGGTCGAATGTTGTGTATCCCCATCTACGTTAACTTGTTGTACCAATACCTTGACCATCTTTCTCGTGGATGACTTCTGTAGAATCAGATCTACTCGGAACTTCAGCATATGCTTGTTTGTTTCGCTTTACCCCAAAATAATCGTGAGCATCCTCATAATGCCTAGAAAAACCATCATTTTATGTCATACCACACTGATCACTTTGGACATTAGTTTTTTCTCTTTAAATATGCTCTTTCCCATTGCTCTTGTAGCACCCCTGATGAGTCTACCATAAACTCACAATCAGGACCATCCTTATCAGATGAACACCATCTGATTGCATGCTGAAATCATAACAATTGTTCAGACCTCTTCCATCGTACATCCTTTTGCTCTTTGATAACTTCACTGGAGAGAGATCTTCCTGAGAAAAATGAGTATTGGTTCCAAGTTCCAACATGATTATTGTCCGGGCTCTCATCATCATCAATGTATATATGTCCTTGAAGAAACATTCTTCCCATTTTTAATCTATTTGAACCTTGTAGTTTCTTTGCAAAATTTTCAGGTGTGTCAATATTAACATTATTGAAACTATCACTCAATTAGGACAGCATCTTTGGGTACCCAATTATTCTTGCTCCTTCCTAAAGTCTTCATCTCAGAAAAATGTCTTGGGTACGACTAACTCGTCCTTTTCAGTTATCACAACAAAAGGGGCATATATAATATCATATTCCAGACTGAAAGAAATGGATTTATCACATTAACCGTTAGGGTGGTTCATATATCATTAGGTCAAGTTCAAGTCCCTACACTAAAGTACAAGGGAAGCTAGACAACACCAACAACATTTTCATGATCTATCATCAGCTGACGGGTTCTCTAATATATATAAAAGTATGTGGCAGCAAGGACGTCAATGAATTCTTCCGATCCCAAAAGGAATCCAAATCAGTACAATTTCCCACTGTCATATGATTTGCAGAAAGCTTATATGCAACATTTCAAGAAATTGACTAATTCAATGAACATCTGAATACTACTCCATATATCTAGATGTTACAAGTTACATGACATGATTCAGCCATCCTTTTGGTGTATTGACAGAAAACTGCTAAAAGTTTAAAGGGTATACTGGCAAACAAAATTCCATAGAAGTTGACACTTTTAATGAAAGATAGATTTAACTTGATAATGACCTTCTTCCAGATTTTCCTTCACTTCAAAAAGCCAGTCAATTCGGCTTAATTTTTTTTTAAACTACTGTATAATTAGATGATAACTATTAAACGTTGAAAATTAAATCCTCCACTCAATATGAGCACGCATCATTTGAAGAAACACATTATCAAAATCCACCTAACTTCAAGAAGAGAAATCGGATTGCAAGATCAAATACTTTATCCAGATAGTGCTACTTATCTAGGCAAATCTCTATGGATTCCCTCTAACACAACAACCACAACAGCTATGAATCAGAGACTGTTGTTCAACGTTTATGCAATTCAAACCCCTAAACTACAAACACGAAATTCTGCACAACACCACACCATACAACCCCAAATCGATCAACGATCATAATCGCAAGTAATAAATAAAAGTAAAATGAAGTCTGAATGCAAAATACCTAGCACCAAATTCGTTTTTTCACTTGCAGAAATCCATGGCCACTAGATGAAGCAAAGGAAGGAGCAAGAAGAATGGAAACGATGGCGAAATGCTTTCATCTCCCTCGTTTTGAATTTTATATTCAATTTCTTTTGAATTTTGAGGGGAGCGGGAATTCTTCAATATTAGTTTAAAATTAA